GTCCCCACTCATGATCAAGTAGCTGACATTTTGACTAAACCACTGTCACTCCAATTATTTTCCAGGCTCCAAAAACAACTTCAAGTCATTTCTTCACCTGCACAAGAATTGAGGGGGAGTGATAAGCAAGATGACAAAATTAGTTAGCATCTTTGTACTCACTTCAGCTCTCTCTTCTTTTAGCTGTATTTCCCTTAGCTGTTATGCATGTCAGCATGCAACACGTGGGATCTGCTCATTGGTTTCTAGTCTAGGGTTTGCAGGTTATAGGGTTACTGTAGGGCTATATAAATGGCATGTATTTCATCTCCTTTTAGCAGCAATTAATACAAAGAATACATTTTCAGCAACATGGTTTTTGTGTTGTCTTTTCACAAGCTCCTAGCACCAATGTTGATCGTCCAACAAAAACACCATTTGATAAAGAGCTATTGTAACCAGCATTTTCCAAAATGAAAAACGCTGCTTTTTGCAGCGTTTTGGCTCAACGGTTCCAGATAGAAAAAATTAAAAGGCTTAATTGCCCCACTCATTATTACCATAGCAAATAAATGAACAATACATCTCACAATTTTAGGAAGATAAAAATTATTAAAATCGTGATACTTTTTTATTCAAACCCATATAAATAATATTTAGTCTCATAATTTCAGAACAAAAATAATCAAATCCTGATATGTTTTTCTTATTCAAACTCATATAAATAATATATAGTTTATTGATATAATGTAAGAAATATATTTAACTATATAATTTTTGTTCCAACTAATACTTAGTATAAATAACTTAACCACTAATTTTACCAACTAAATTTTAAACATATGTAGGCATAGATACACTATGATCATATATATCTTAGTTCATCACATAATCTCCTAAAACAATATGACAAAGTTTGTAGAAACATTCAAAGTTCAAACAAATTGAAAAATCTAGTAAAAAAAAGTTTCAAAGTTGAATAAACATCCAAACAATTTGAAAAATCTAGTGAAAAAATTTTTAGGAACACCCAAAAAATTAGAGAAATCTAATAAAGTAAAAGTAGAAAGAAAATTCTAAATAAATGATGTATTTAGTTACTTAGATGACCATGATAACTTTTAGAAATTGTTACGGTAAATTTTAGTTACTTTGATTTTTTTTTTCAATTGTAATAATATATATTCCAATTGAGTCATATTTAGATTTTTTAAATAGTGATGACTTGTTATTAGTTTTGTTTATATGATGCAATCTTTTTTAATCAATTAAAAAATATTTTCATTGCAATATTATTTATATTTTTCAATATTTTAAATCAATTTAATAAATATTTAATATATAAATTATTTTTATTTTCTTAAATAGTTATAAGTTCTACATAAATAAGAATGATAAATTAAGATGATGTGCTTATTAGTAATTTCACTTGTTAACAACTAATTTTACTAAATTATTTTCTTACAAACTGCTAAAACAATCATCTGGTCAAAATAACTAATTTAATTCGTTGGTCAAAACAACTAATACAATCAGCTAACAACTAGTAGTTATTCGTTGATTACCAAACAAGGCCAATGCTTTTACAACAAGGATTGGAGGGCGGTTGCTGAAGAAATTATTTTATTTGAAGAGTTTTAGGAAGGTAGACAACATAAAATTGAAGAGATTTGAATTACTAAGGGGGAGGAGTTTTTACTTCTATGTTTGGTAAGTTAGCTTATACATTATTTGGTTAGCTCATAAACTTCATGTATTTAAATAAGGTTCGTTTGGTAGGACAAACTTTTTTAAAAGCTCGAGCTTATCTCATAAGCTTCTTTTCGTAGTTTTTCAAATAAGTTCGTTGAATTTTTTATTTCAACTAACTAATCAACTAATTTTACGAAACACTTTTAGGCTAACTTTTCATACACAAGTCATAAGTTATAAGCTATAAGTTCGAAAATTACTGATAAGCTAGAAGCTAGTTTATCAACTAGTTTTACCAAACGTAGCCTTACTTGAAAACCAATTTTTTTTTTTTTTTTTTTTTGGTAGAAAAAGTCGGGATACATTTATTTGGGGTGAAACATTCACAATTCACAAAGGAAAAATTTTGCTGGAGAACTGAAAGTCGACAGCCACACCAGAAGAAGAAATGCAAGAGAGGCACACGGACAAAGAGGGACACACAGACGAGAGAAAACATGTGGAGGGAAGCCGCATCCACACACGAGGAAGATAATTATAAGTTGGATGATCTATTTCTTTAGTTGATTTACTAAGACATCGCATTTATTTTGTTGATCAGTTGATTCATATTATCTATTTTTATTATTGATAAATTATGAGTGTTCGATTTAGTTAGACCGACTATGTTGAATTTTCGTTTATTTGCTAGATTCGAGACTTTAATCTGCAATTGTTATTGTTCTTGAATCGTGAGTAGTAAACTAAGGGTCGTGCATCTCTAGAGTAGCGTGAACATAAGTTAAACATAATTAACGTGCGTTGCTTGGACTAATCTATTTTCCTAGGAATTAATACCGGTAGTGCACTAAATCTATAGAGTTTATTCTAGCTAGGTTGACTAGTTAAGTATAGTCGAAAAACTTATTTCGACTAAATATTCGGTAAGAAAAAAATTGATTAACGGAGATTGTTGTTAGTTAGACATAACAATAGTTTTAGATCGAGTGATAACTGAACCTAAAATTGACTTCTTTCATTTTATTTGTTTTTTATTTTTTTTTATTTTTAGTTTTACAAAATCAATCTCATCATATTTTATTGCTTTCTTAGATTAGTTCAAATTGTCACAATTTAGTTACGTTCCTACTACTCGTGTGATTGACTCTTATTTGTCGCTACTACTAGTTAGTGGAGATTTATTGAGAAATTTTTTGTTATAAATTTAAATTTGTCGCGTCGTGACCACTAAGATTTAACACCTTATAAGCTCAAATAGCCGTTCATAAAAATTTATTCAAGAATCCAGTCATAAAATACTTTTAGCTAACCCTAGATTTAATTTGTAGGATTTAATTACAAATAGTCTTTTTATGAAATAGATTTGGGTTCCACATGATTTAGCTAGTAATCCCCTATACTTTAATTAAAGACAAAAAATAAAGCAACATTACTTTCTTTGCAAATGAATATATAATATAAATAAGGGTAAACAATTTTGTCCAACCTGTACTATACGTGTTTTTGGGATCTTTAACCTAAAGTATTTTTTGTTGTAAAATGCAACCTGAACTACATATACAGTCACTATTTGCACGCTCGACCACATCTTAACCATACACGTGTCCTTTTTTGCACACGATCGGGCGGTCAAAAAGTATTCGAGCATGCAAATAATTGTATATATGTAGTTTAGGTTGCATTTTACAACAAAAAATAATTTAGGTTGAAAATCTTAAAAGCACGTATAGCACAGGTTGGAAAAATTTATTTACCCTATAAATAATCCTGACTGTGCGCGAGCTATTAAATTCAACTTTTTTTTTACTATAATTTATATACAATACAAATAATAATAAAATGAGAACAAAAGGAAGTGGTGTATCTACGTCGGCTGAGATGAAGAAATTTATCAGATTTGCTAGTGGATGTAACTTTCTTCTGTGTGAAAAATATTCAAATCACTGGAAAGTGTGGATTGAAAGAGAGGGCCAATTTCCTGGAAATTGCTATCCAAGACTTATTGAAAAATCAACTATTGAGTAAATATTCTGTATCATCATATCCATCTTGAGTATATATAAAATATAAGACTAAAATGCAATTTTATTCCTGTATTCACTGTCCTAACGTTTTCGATCCTTTTCGAATTATTTTTCTTATTTTCGTCCCGTATATTCGTAAAAAAGTTACAAAAAGGTCATTCTCGCAACAAAAAGAGCATTTATGTTTCGCCAAATAAAAAGCTCCAATTTCGTCCCTTATATATGAAAGATGACCTTGAGACGAAGAAAAAAAAACACAATTCGAAAATGACGAAAAAGTTAGGGTAGCGAAACATACAGGACTAAAATAATGTATTTTACTCATAAATTGTAATTTTAGTCTCGTATGTTTCACTACCTCAACTTTTTCGTCCTCTTCGAATTGCGTTTTTTATTTTCGTCTCGTATGTTCGTAAAATTGTTACAAAGTGGTCATTTTCGCAACAAAAAGGTTTTTTATGTTTTGCAAAAAAAAAATAAATAAATAAATAAATAAATTTCGTCCCTTATGTATGAAAAATGACATTTTTGTATCTTATTTTGCAAACATAGAGGACGAAAATT